GTGTCAGAAGAACAGAATCTCTTCAAGCCACCTTGGCCAGCTTTTCTATGAGTGTGTTATCCCAAAGTTCCTCCAAGTCCCTCCCAATGCTCACATTTGTAAATGCTTCGTATCAATTCTCTCCCCTAAGCGGATCTTCAAGCTGCCCTCGTCACTCCATTTCCAATGCCACCAGCCAGGCCTGGGCACCACTCTGTCCCCTCAGCTGGGACTCAGTCCCCAGCCCAGGACAGGCTGCTCCGCCGCGGCCCCCGCAGGCCTCACACACCTCCCCCTAATTCTCCTGCTGTCATCAGGGGTGATGCTGGGTGTAAATCCTTATCCGCTGATCTTGGGGGCAGATCTCTGAAACCATCTGCTTTTAATTCTGTTGGGTCAGGCAGTCCTCAGCCGGCTGGCCCTGCTCTCTCTCACAAGAGGGGAACACTGATCTTTCCCACAAGCAGAGCCGTCATACATGCCCATCACCCTGTAACTGCTGCTCCTCTGCCCCTCCCTTGGCCGCTGGACCTCAGGCTCCTGGGGCTGACGCTGATGCACCATGGGGCTGCAATGGAATTCACCCAGCCTCCGTCTGATTTTGGGGCAATCCGTACTTGCCCCTCGCAGGCCTTATGACTTCACATGCTGATCACTGGGGCTCACCTACAGCTGGGAGTTTAGGGTCCCAGTAAAAATGTTCCTTTCGGGACAAGAGAGAGTCCAGGCTCTCCTGCTGAGGTCCAATCTTCACCATCTACCACACCCCATTCTAGCACCTGAGTCCTGCTTACCTGGGAGAAGAATTTGGAATTTTCCCCAGTAGTGTGTGGGTGGGGAGAACACCAAGGATGGAAAGTGAGGTGTATGTAGGGATAGAGGGCTTCTTCCTTTATTTGTTATCATTTATTCCTTCTCTTCCCTCCCTCAACTTTTACATTTATTTTTTAAATTTTTTATTATTGTTATTCTAGTACAGTTGTCACAATATTGTCCCCTTTGCCCTCTTCCACCTAGCCCTCCCCCTGATTCCCACACTGTTGTCCATGTCCATGGGTCATTCACACGTTTTTGGACTGATCGCTTTCTACCATTTCTCCCCCACTGCTTCCCTCTGGCAGCTGTCAGTATGTTCCATGTTCCCATGTCTCTGGTTCTATCTTGCTAGTTTATTTTGTTCATTAGATTCCTCTTATAAGTAAGATTGTATGGTATTTGTCTTTTACCCCCTGGCTTATTTCACTTAGCATAATGCTCTCCGGTTCCATCAATGCTGTCACAAAAGGTAGAAATTCCTTTTTTCTATCTGCTTTGTCATATTCCATTTGTAAATGTACTGCAGTTTTTTGATCCCCTCATCTACTGATGGGCACTTAGGATTTTTCCAGCCCTTGGCTATTGTAAATAACACTGCTATGAACATTGGGGTACATTAAGTTTTTCTGATTTGGTGTTTTGGGATTCTTAGGGTATATTCCCAGCAATGGAATGGCTAGGTCAAAAGACGGTTCCATTTTTAATTTTTTGAGGAAATTCCATACTGTTTTCCACAGTGGCTGCACCAGTCTGCATTCCCACCAACAATGCACTTGGGTTCCCTTTTCTCTACATTTTCACCAGCACTTGTTTCTTGATTGATTAATGATAGCCATTCTGAAAGGTATGAGGTGATATCTCATTGTGGCTTTAATTTGAATCTCTCTGGTGGCTAGTGATGTTAGGCATTTTTTCAATATGTCTATTGGGCATCTCTATGTCCTCTTTGGAGAAGTGTCTATTCGGGTCCTTTGTCCTTTTTTTGAATGGATTGTTTGTCTTCCTGGAGTTGAGTCACATGAGTTCTTTATACATTTTGGAGAATAAACACTTGTCTGATGTATCATTGGCAAATATGTTCTCCCTTACAGGGTCCTTTTTCATTTTGATGGTGGTTCCTTTAGCCATGCAGACATTTTTTAATTGAATGTAGTCCCATTTGTTTATTTTTCCCTTTAGGTCCCTTGCCCTAGGTGACAGATTAGCAAAAATATTGCTATATGGGATATCTGAAATTTTACTCCCTGTTTTCCTCTAGGACTTTTATGGTGTCGTGTCTTATATTTAAGTCTTTTATCCATTTGGAGTTGGTTCTTGTGGACCGTATAAGCTGGTGGTCTAGTTTCATGTCTTTGCATGTACCAGTCCAGTTCTCCCAACACCATTTGTTGAAGAGGCTATTTTTACTCTGTTGTATGCTTGTGCCCCTTAGTCAAATATTAATTGACCATAGAGACATGGGTTTATTTCTGGGCTCTCTATTCCATTCCACCAATCTATATGTTTATCCTTATGCCAGTTCTAGACTGTTTTGATTACAATGGTCTTGTAGTATAGTTTGATATTAAGTATTGTGATCCCTCCAACTTTATTCTTCTGTCTCAAGATTGCTGAGGCTATTCGTGGTCTCTTTTTTTGGTTCCATATACATTTTTGAAATATTTGTTCTATATCTGTGAAATATGCCACTGGTATTTTCATAGGAATTGCACTGAATCTATAGATTGTTTTGGGTAGTATGGGCATTTTAATGATGTCAATTCTTCCAATCCATGAACACGGTATGTGCTTCTATTTTTCTGTATCTTCCTCGATTTATTTCTTCAGTGATCTATAGTTTTCTGAGTACAGGTCTTTTACCACCTTGGTAAAATCTATTCCTAGGTACTTTATTTTTCTTGTTGCTATAGTAAATGGGATTTTTCCCTAGTTACTCTTTCTGATAGTTGATTGTTGGTGTATAAAAACACTACTGATTTCTGAATATTGACTTTGTATCCCGCTACTTTGCCAAATTTACTTATTAGGTTGAATAGTTTATTGGTGGAGACTATAGGGTTTTCTGTGTATACTATCATATCATCTGCGAATAATGACAGTTCTACTTTCTCCTTTCCAATTTGGATGTCTTTTTTTCCTTGTCTGCTGTGGCTAGAACTGAGTACTACGTTGAATAAGAGTAGTGAAAGCAGACACCCTTGTCTTGTTCCTGATCTTAAGGTGAAAGCTTTTAGTTTTTGCCCATTGAGTATGATGCAGGCAGTAGGTTTCTCATATGTGGCCTTTATTATGTTGAGGTATGCGCTCTCTATTCCCACTTTGCTGAGTGTTTTTATCATAAATGGGTGCTGGAGTTTATCAAATGCTTTTTCAGCATTTATTGATATGACCAGGTGATTTTTGTCTTTCGTTTTGTTTCTGTGGTGTATTACATTCATTTATTTGTGAATATTGTACCATCCTTGCATCCCAGGCATGAATCCCACTTGATAATGGTGTATGGTCTTTTTAATGTATTGCTGGATCTGGATTGCCAGTATTTTGTTGAGGATTTTTGTGTCTATGTTCACCAGAGATATTGGCTTGTGATTTTCTTTCTTTGCTGTGTCTTTACTTGGTTTTGGAATTAGGGTAGTCCTGGCCTCATCGAGTTTGGGAACCTTCCTTCTTCTTGAATTTTTGGGAATACTTTGAGAAGGATAGGAGTTATTTCTTCTTTGAATATTTGAAAGAATTCGCCTGTGAAGCCATCCAGTCCAGGGCTTTTGTGTTCCAGGAGTTTTTGATTAGTGCTTTATTTTTGCTAGTTCTTATCGATCTACTCAAGGTTTTCTGATGCTTCTTTGCTGCTTCTTTGGATGATTGTATGTTTCTAGAAATTTATCCATTTCACCCAGGATGTCCAATTTCTTGGCTTATAGTTGTTTGTAATAATTTCTTACAATCCTTTGTATTTCTGTGGTATCAGTTCTTAATTCTCCTCTTTCATTTCTGATTTTATTTATTTGGGTCCTCTCTTTTTTCTTGATGAGTCTGGTTAAAGGTTTGCCAATTTTGTTTTTTCAAAGAACCAGCTCCTGGATCCATTGATCCTTTGAGTTTTTAAGTCTCTATGTCATTTAATTCTGCTCTGATCTTGATTATTTCCTTCCTTCTACTCACTCTGGCCTTTGTTATTGTTTCTCTAGTTCTTATATATGTAGGGTTAGGTTGTTTGAGATTTTTTTATTTTCCTTAGGTAGGCCTTTATTACTATGAACTCCCCTTCTCAGGACTGCCTTTGCTGTGTCCCATAGATTTTGGTTTGTTGTGTGTTCATTTTCCTTTGTTCCCAGATACTTTTTGATTTCTTCCTTTATCTCATTGTTAAACCATTCATTATTTAATAACATGTTATTCAGTGTCCATGTATTTGACTGTTTTACAGTTTTTTCCTTGAGGTTGGTTTCTAGTTTCAAGCCACTGTGATCTGAGAAGATGCTTGATATGATTTCAATTTTCTTGAAATTCTTGAGGCTTGTTTTGTGTCCTATAATGTGGTTGATCTTTAAAAATGATCCACGTGCATTTGAAAAGAATGTATATTTTCCTTCTTTGGGGTGAAGTGTTCTGTAAGTATAAATTAAGTCCATTTGATCTAGAGTATTGCTCAATGCCACAATATTCTATTGATTCTTTGTTTGGGACATCTAACCATTGCTGACAGTGGGGTGTTAAAATCCCCTATGATGAGTGTGTTGCTGCTGATCTCTTTCTTAAAGTCTTCCAAGATTTTCCTTATATATTTAGATGCTCCTATGTTGGGTGTACACATATTAACAACGTTTATATCCTCTTATTAGACCACTCCCTTAAGTTATTATGTAGTATCCTCCTTTGTCTCTGTATTACGGCCTTTGTTTTGAAGTCTGTTTTGTCTGATATAAATATTGCTACCCCAGATTTTTTTTCCACATCCATTTGCTTGTAATATTTTTTCTATCCTTTCGCTTTAAGCCTGTGTAGATCTTTTACTCTGAGGTGTGTCTTTTGTAGGCAGCATATATGTGGGTCATGTTTTCTTATCCATTCAGCTACCCTATGTCTTTTGTTTGGAGTGTTTAATCCATTTACATTTAAGGTCATTATTGCTAGGTATTTATTCACCACCATTTTTTCCTTTGCACCTCTGTTCCTCTTTCTCTCTGTCTTCTTAAAGCAGTCCCAAAAATATCAAACACGTCATGAATTTGTGGGTAATCGTTGAGCAGGGGCCATGCTAATCTCTGTATTATTCCAATTTTAGTATATGTGCTGCCAAAGCAAGCACGCAGCTTTTGCATTTAAAGTAGGGACTATTTCTTAATGGTTTTAAATATACTTGATTTTTAAAATTCAAGCCACCTTAAATGGTCTTAAGTAAAAAGTGAAAGTTTCCTACCCAAACTCACACCTCTAGGACCTCACTCCAGGAATAACCATTCTTAAGAAGTTTTTGTTCTGCTGGAAGGGGCAGTGTCCAGTGTAAAGGTCAACCTGACTCTCATGTCCTGTAGCAGTTTGCTTCATATTTAGACCATGCTTTTCTTAAGCGATTTTGCTTTTCCTGGAGTCTTAATAGACTTTCCCCCCTTTGTTTCAAGAAGAAACATATGACTTTCCCATCACGTCACTAAGACCTTCCTGCTTCTTAATTGTCCTATTTTGAACTAAAATCACTTCCTTCTTGAAGTCCTTCTTTTGATTCTTCTTACTTCCTGTTCCAATTTGGACTAATCGTGTCCTGGGCTCACCACACCACTGTATCCAGTTATTTCTTTAAACATGCTCTTCTTGGGTTAGGTCCAGAAAGCATACATGTCTTCTAACTCTTAATTCCTTTTATGCTTTTCTGCAGTTCATCTACAAGTAATGCTTTTCAGAAAGTGCAAGGCATGTAAGTTTATGGAGCATTTGAAGATCTGTAAGTCTTTATTTCACATATTTAATCAATAATTTGGCCAACTATAAAATTTTACATTCAAGATAGTGTTCTTCTGAATTCTAAAGGCATTGTTCCATTCTATTCTAGACCCTTGCCATTCAAAGTGTGGTTCATAAACAACAGCCTCCCTGGACCTGAATGTGAACAAGATGCCCAGAGACATATGGGTTCATTACAGTTGAGAAGCGCTGTTCCCACCTTCATCGCAGCTGCTCAGAGTGCCGAGGTCGATCAGACCCTTTCTTCTCAGTCTAAAGTCTGAGGAACATCTGTTTGCCTTTACTTGGTGATCTTTTAGGTTCTGATCTTTTCCAGTGGCTCCTGTCCATTCAAGACTTCTTCCTTTCTTCAGATCTGGGAAATTTCTTCATTTATTTCTCTGCTTTATTCTGTGTCTTGGCAGTATCTTGTTCCCCCTTTCAGGAATGTTATCAATTTCCTAGGTTGATCATATCTCCTAGCCTTTTTCTTTTATTTCTCTTCCCTTGGATTTTCTAATATTCATTCTGAGAAGTTTCCTCAAACGTATCCTTTAGCCCTGATATTGGATTTTTAAAATTCTGTGAACATTTATTTTAATTTACTATAGTACTGTTCTCTGCACTATGGTTACTATGACTTAATGAACTATGGTTCTCTGCATGCTCATTTTTCATTGCAGGCTGTTCCTGTTTAATAAATAAAATGTCTCACATCTCTAGGGACACTAATTAGTTTTAGTTTCTCAGTTTTGTTTCCTCCAGCACCAGTAGTTCTGTTTGTTCATCTTGCTCCTTCTTTTTCATGTTGTTGATTTTCCTTAAGTGTCTGATCATCCTCATTAGATATTACGGAACCACTATTTATTTGTTTAAGTATGATGATGGTATTGTACTTATGTAAGAAAATGTCCTTATTTTAGACAATGAATGGGATGATGTGTCTGATATCCACAATTTACTTTAAATGGTTATACACAGAGAGAGAGAAAGAGAGAGAATAAGAAAGAAAACATTTAAATACAGTGAAGTACGAGGGGGGACATCCCAAAAAACAGAATTTATTTATAAGAAATTGTATATTTATTCTTACATGTTTAAACTTCAGTCACCTTCAAAGTACTCTCCATTTGATGTAAGATATCTGTTAAGATCTTTTCCCATTGCTCAGAACTGTTTTTGAACTTGTCAATTTGAATGCCTTTTAGTGCTTCATCTGTTTTCTGTTCCGCCTCTTCCACATCAGCTAAACGTTTCCCTTTGAGGATATTTTTCATCCAGGGAAACAAAAAAAAAGTCACTTAGGTTGAGATTGGGTCAATAGGGAGGATGGGGCATGGGGGTCATGCCATTTTTGGTCAAAAGTTGCTGAACACTCAGTGAGGCATGGGCAGGTGCACTAGTAAATCACCATCATGAAATGGGCAAATGCATTGAAAGACTCTTCAAAAAAAATTCATTGCAGCCAAATGCAGCTTCTCACAACGCCACCAGCTGGTACACTGATACAGATGGTTTCCTAGAACACTCACCTGGCGGGGGGAAGCCTGTACTACAAGGGGCCCGCCCTCCAGAAGGTATTTCCAGTTTTTGGGAGGGTCCTCCTCATACTGTAACACTTGGAAGTGGAGAATATTCTCAAGTATTATTTCATTAGACTTTCCATTTTTCTCTTGAAATTTGTTTGAAAATTTTAATAGTAAAAGTTGGAAATTAAAAAAAACAAAAACGAAAAAAACAGAATAAAACCTCCCAAATACCCTGGGGAAAATACATCTGGGGCCTGAAATCCCTAAGGGATCAGCTTCTTGTGGGAAACCAGATATCTACATCGTCTTTAAGCAACTTAGGCTATAGTCATTTGCATTTATGTATACTTGCTGTGCTTGCAGAGTAATAAACAATGTATGCACAGTGTCTGACTGATATTCTTCAGGAAATCTGCCCAAGTGGATTGAGAAGGCTCCTGTCCTTGTGAATCTCTCATGAAGCAAAACAAAGTGAAAATGGGATTTCATGGATGTGGGTAGTAATTGGATTTGGTGGAGGATATGATTAAATTTCACCAAGGGCCTCCAACCCCTGCCCCAGGAAAATAACGAAAGGGTCAGAAGACCTGTCTTACTGAAAGGGAAGCTATGTGAAGCCTGCAGAGACTCTAAAGCACACGCCTGCTCTGTCCACCACTCTTCAGTCATGGAACGGCAGACCTGGCACCTTCACAATCGCTGGAGTCTCACATTCAGGCAGAAGGCTGGAAGTGCTGCAGTTAATACAGAACACAGTGAACCTCATGGATCCGTTTCTGTGCCCCTGGTCTTCCGGAATTTCTATCTCTACCTCAGTATGTGGGATCAAAGCAGAATCCAGTCCAGAGAAGGAGAGCCTCCTCAGTATGGGCAGATTCCAACACTCAAGCGAAAAGCCAGCTGGCCAGTGCAGGCCGCCAGCACCACCTTCCCCACCGTCCTGTGGGTGCGGGGCAGCCTGAAAGCCCTGGGGACAAAGGCAGGCGTGTGAGCTGACAGGTTTCCTGTTACGGGGTGTTGACAATGGGCAAGCAGACCAGCTGACTCCCACCCCCGCACAAAACTAATGTACTCAGGGGTCTTGGGTTCTCACTTAGTGTCCTTCCCAGGGTGGTTTCCAGAGCTGGTCAGGTGGTCTGATGTGGGAAGCCAACCATCTTGCTGATAGGGGGCCTTCACAGAAACACTTGCTCTCTGCTCAGTTCCCTCTCCTGCTCTCAGTCCATGTGGCTCAGCGTCTCTCCAGAGATATCCACAAGAAACAACTCCCACCTAAGCTGTGTCCGCTGGGTTGACCCACCAAGTCCACCCATTAACTTTCCATTCTCCAGGAATCTCTCAAACTCCTGGTCCTCTGACGGCCCCTCTCCCACCACCATCAGTGTCCTTGAGCACTGCTCCCTTCTATTCTTTCCTCCAGTTATTTCATAGGATTTTGAAGAGGGAGTAGCAGCATCATGTTCACACCATCATCCTGAACCGGAAGTCCTTCCCCGGTTTCCAGCCCTCCCATTTATGCTGCAGTGTCTAAGTGTCTTCCTTCTCATTCTGGATGCCCTGTAGCTGCCTCACCATCCCACCACCACCTTTCATCTTCCCTTTTCTTAGCAGTAAGTCAGAAAAGGCATCTGCCACTCTTAGGATACCATGGCAGGAAAGAATGAACCCAGCAGGCCTGAGGCTGCTGTTCTCAGAAAAGCCTGAATGCAAGGCTGGTCCTCGGAGGCATCTGGGAACTTAGATGTGGGGTGAGGGCTTCCAGCGTTCCCTGAATGATCAGTATGGTTCCTGTACCTAAACTGTTTGTGCAAACACCATGGTTTATGCTACCACCTGTTTTCCTTCTGAAAGTGGAATTTTGATACATGTGAGACAGAAGGTGCCCAATAAAAGCAATCATGCTGGGTCTCTAGTGAGCGTCCCTAGTAAACAAGACTTCACCTGTGCCATCACCAGCCACTGCTGCAGAACAAAATTGTCCTGTGTGACTCCAGGGGGAGGGGCACACACGCTGCCAATTTGCTTCAGACTTTACCCCTTTGCCTTTTCCCCTTGATGATTTTGTGTTTTACCCTTTTGCTACAATAGATCGTAACCAGAATTATGACTCTATGCTGAGTCCTGTGAGCCCTCCTGAGAACTGTCAAGCGGGGGGACCCCTGATACACACCACACAGCTTAAAAAATGTGTTTCCTGTTCTTGATAAACTTCCTTTGTGGCTTGAGGTATTGTACTATTTGTCCGGCATGTGTTGAAAAGATGTCTGTCTGGGAAAATGGCCAAAGAAGGTCTACACAGCCTGGTTTTAGGGTCTTTGATGACCTGCTTTCTGGCAGACTGTGAAACTGGACCATCCCTGGCTTCTGTCCTCAGCCTGGGCCCTGAAACGATGGGTTCTTACTGCACACGAGCTCGCCTGCCCCTCTGTGCTGGCACACATCCCCAAGCAGACAGCCCAGTGTCCCCGCAGGACTGCCCTCCACAGCCAGGGTCCCGCACTTGCGCTGTCCCTGCCCCATCCACAGGACAAAAAGCAAGCAGCCCCGGTCTCTCCACATGCTTCCACTTCGGTTCACAGAGACTGTGACCACTCCCACATCTAAATTAAACAGCCTTTCCATGGTGCCCATGGAGAGAGCTTGCAATTAAAGCTCTGAAGCACAACTTCAGAGTCAAATAATGTTGAGCTGCACACTTGAGTTTAAAATACAAGCCCTAAGAGGAAGCTGTTAAAAAACCTCACAAGCTTGGATCACCAGCCAAGGGGGAAATGTGAATTAGCGCAACGTCTAAATTACTGAATATTCTTAACCAGTGTTAAGTAGGAGGGAGACAAAA